AATCTTATTAAAATCAGTTTTCTATAGGTGCATTCCTAATTGTTCTTTCATAGCTGTGAGAAGAAATGAGCAAGTTAATTTTAAAAATTATTTTTTTTATTTGTTTTGGTATTTCTCATTCATTTATATAATTAAGGAAGAAATATAGATTTCTGGAAGATTTCAAGGAAGTGACGAGTCATTACAAAATTTATTTATTTTCTGAAATTTTCATTATTTGTGGCAACGAGTGCACTAACTGTTTTACTTTTATTCAAAATCATCATTATCAGTAGGCGGGTTCACGAAAAATAAGGTAAAAAAATTACACATCTTGCTGAATGTGGGGTATAATTTGCTGCTGAAAAAGTTGGCCTTTTGCATTAAAATAGAGCCCAAAAGAACAGTCACATAATGTTTAATGATATTTCATATAAATGTGTTAACAAGGCTTGAGATTACTATCAAGTGTGTTTGTGATGAGATGTTTAAAAATTACATTGTTCATATTTCATTGTTTGTTAAAATTCTGTTGTCAAGTTTGGAGAATTTATATTTTTCAGAAAACGTCAAGAAAAACTGATAGAAGATATTGAAAAAAAGCAGGAGGTTCACCGAGAAAGGCTTACTAAATTACAACAAGATTTTCAGAAGTTGGCTCTAGTGACACCTGGAAAGTCCTAGCTCATTTGAAATAATTAACTTATAGTATTAAAATCATGGGAAGCAAAAGTTGCTGATTAGGGTGCAAGCTGTATACAAATCCATTGTACCTAGCATTTTGTTTCTGTACTCTTGAAACTTTGTGTTGTAAACAACGGTAGCTTGATGGTTAGGCAGGCTTTGTAATCTGAGTATGTTCGAAAGCTTATGATTACCTTTTTTATTAAGTTTATTTTTGATGTTGACACCTGTTGGCATAATATGACGCAGGAGTGGCACCACCAGGGGTTCAGATTGGGGGTGGCCGTGATCGCCCATTGAGGACAAAAAACAATACGAGGTGGGGGCCCGAAGGTGCAAAATATGGTGATACAGTGTAAGGCGATTTTTATCTAGTTGAGCATGATTTTTTGCTTTAGACACTTTCATTTGGTGGCATCTGGGTGGCCCAAGTTTTTTTAGGAGGGGCAGCAGTGTTTTTAGGGGTTGTGGTAGTCGATTTTGGGTAGTAGTACTTCCCCACGTAAATTTGGCATGTGCAGGGAAATAGTATATATTACTGCACCCTTTACCGGGTGGAATTGTTCATTGAAAGGTTACTACCTAATTAATATATATGAGGTAAACAGCCCAATCCAATGTCGGTTTTAAGTCTCACATTGGATGCGAACAATTATTTTAATCTTTACGGAAGGTGGCATGTTGCACTATCCTGCACTTGGTGTGTCACACTTTTAAGTATGACATTAAACACCATTACCATCATCTGTTCACACGGGTGCAGTTTTTGAAAACCATGAAGGACATCCGAACATATCACCATTTTATTACCACCTACCAGATGCCATGGATGCAATCTATGCAATGCCTACAAATCTGCTGGTTCTTTAACAGCCCTATTTCGAATGTGTGGTATAATGCATGCAAATTTGCTCAGGCTTATGCTTCAGTGAGTCAGTCACACTTGCATGTTTCTAAGCAAAGTTGTCCCTCTTCAGTTCAGTGTTCTATCTGGGTGTCCAATATAGAGGTTGTCATTCTTTTTCTTCTGAAATTTAAATTGTGGTGTTTTTTTTTAAGTGTTTATACAATTTTAATACCTGTATTTGTCTTAGAGGAGTCAGGGGCAGTAATACCTAATGATTGACAGAAAGATAACATTTTGTCATACACCTTTGCCACTAGTTGATAGTGATTGATTGATTGATTATCTTTCAATAATCTCATTATTGAATAAACAAATGTATACATAACTTTTTTTATGCTTTCTCATTTTGCAATTAATGCAGAGTACAGTGTTGGTACTGTAGTGTGGAAACTAGGTAGTTTTCGCCGCACGACGTTATCCTTAACGTTAACGGATGACGTCATAATTCATTCATCTTGCGTTGCGGAGCACGTTAATTTCAGGATTTTATGTGCCTGGCGTACATAAGTTACGGGTTTGCGCATGCGTATTTCGATTTGTTTACAAAAGGGGCGGAGCTATCGCGTTGCATGTTGGGTACTAACGTTAAAGTTAAGGTTAACGTCGTGCGGCGAAAACTACCAAATGTACTTTGAACTAGATTAAAGGTTTCTTGGAATTTAGTTTTACATTAGTTTCTGTTATGATAACTTTGAAAATAAGCTTCGGTTTGCAGAGAACTTTCGTGTAATAAAGTTATAGTTAGCAACTTCATTAGTGTGTTCATATCTTTTTGATACTTTAATAATATACAGTAATTGCATTGTTAAATGCTTGCAGTACACTATAAGTTCTGAAAAGAGCTTTTGTTTGTAGAGAATGTTTCAACATTTTCGATTGAGTTGCTGAAATCGTCTTCAGATATTCTCCAGAAGACGATTGAAGCAACTCAATCGAAACGTCGAGGCATTCTCTACAAAAGAAAATAAATGGAACGATTTGATTTTAAAACAACAGTTCTTTTCAGAACTTTCCATGTGGTGTACCACAAGCATTTAATATATTATTACTTCACCATGCAAACCTTCAAATAATATTATTGTAGCATTATGACTTCCACAACAGTCATGGGTTCAGAAAGACAAAAGATGTAAAATCCAGACTGCTCAAAATATTTCAATATTAGGCGACTCAAAGCCTATATCGCATATATGTCAAGTTGAAAGTATTGCTGTCTAGAAAGTCTACACTTTACGATTTGAAACATTTTTGCAAAACTCTGGTAACTATTGGCCGGCCCGTAGCGTGACTTAATTTGTGGGAGGTTCGTTTCAGTGGAAAGTGGGCCCTTTGGAAACCACTGTTATACAATAACGTAGTATTGTTAGCTGGGTGCCGACTTGAAATACTTGTATGATCTCCGATACTCTCGAGAACATTGTAAATATAACTACGAATATCAATTTTTCGTTTTTAAATGCGGTTCGTCGTAACCCCCTTAACTCCCCACGCTACGGGCCTGATTGGTGATGGTGGTGGTGGTCATGATGAAGATGATGGTGGTGGTGACGATCACTAATGGCACGGCGGCGACGATGACAACGATAATCAAATAGACACCTTCATAATATCATTTATTTTGGAATAATAATGAAACCCATCATAACATATTACAATTGTTTGCTCATGTTCACAATAGGAAATGGGTTAAGAAGACAAGAAATTAAGTTAGCACTAGCATGTGTCCAGTTCCTGGGTGTGGAAGCTCGCACTTAGTGAGGCTGGACCACCTTCTAAATAAAATTCATGTTTTAAAGGTAGATAACAATTTGAGTTACTAATAATTAACCCAT